ACTAGCTAAGTATATTTTATTAAATAAAATATAAATAATAAATACAAAATAAAATTAAATATAATCTAAATAAAGTTGAGAACAATGTGTTTCTAAATGATTACCACCACAATAAAAACAAATTTTTTTTCTATTGATAGAATTGTATTTGTACTGTTGAGTTTTTTGTTCATTTATAAAAAGAACTACAAATTTTTCCTTTACAATTATGAATAATATCATAATTATTTGTAAAATATTTGCATTTGGCAAATTGTGTAACTTTGTCCTGTTTGTTTTTTTGTGATGGATATGTATATCCACATATGAATATACAATCACATTCAATTTTTTTACATGCTGCACAACATTCATGTGTGAATAATTCTTGACAATTCCAACATCTTCCTTTGTTTAATCTAGTTTGGTATTGATGTTTTGTATTAATAGAATTGAGATCATTTGTATTTTGAAAAAAATAATATTTATCTATTTGGAGATTTAGAGTAAGATATGTGGATATGCTTTCAAAATTAAATATTTGAGTCTCTGATGCCAAATATTGTTGTTCATCTAGATAATTGAAAATATCCTCGATGATTGAAATTGTATTTGAACAACCAATTTCTTTAAGTAATTGTAATAAATTTCTCAGAAGACCTTTTTTTTTATGTAAAAAAAAATCTACTCGGTCTTAAACTGAGCAGATGGTGATTAAGGTTGATATTCTGGTGAAACAGACTAATATTCTTTGATTTTTTCTAAATGAGCATTTACATCTGTTTCAATTTCTTTGGAAATAGATACTTGTTTTTTCTTTTTACTTTTACGAAATACATACTGTTTAAATTCACATAAAAGTTTAATTTCATTTTTGTAAATTGTTGTGCCTATATTTTTAAAGCTTTTAATCCAAAAAAATATATCATAATTAAGTTTGTAAGTGCGAAAATATCTTTTAAATCGTATAAGCGATCCTTTTTTTGACATTTTGCTTAATTTTTCTTTTTTTGGAAGAGACTTATTAACACTTTGTAATAACTTGTAATAATAACACCTTTGACTAAATAGACACCGATTATCTCTATGCTGATTATTATATTGCCAACATTGTAGTTCAAATTCACGTTTGTTAAAACATTTGCATTGAAAAAAATCAAAAAAATTCAATATACTGGCTATGCTCCAACATATCAAATTTTCTTTAGAATTTCATTTTGAATATTGAATTACATATAAATGTTTAAAATCGATATTCTACTAAGCAATTAAATTTTTAACAATAAATGATTCGTAAACAATTTTATAGTTAATTAGAGAGAATTGAACAAAATATGTAGTAATGTCTCTATTAAGAAACATTTTAAGAAACAATTTGGTTTCTCAAATGAATATCTGTAGCATAGCTAACTGTATTCATTATCAAATCAGAACTGATTCAATATTGAACTTGGTATTTTTTCATGGCTTTTTATAGGCAATTTTCAATAAACTAAAAAAACTAAGTTTTTTTCTTCTCCCAAAGA